TATAAAAAAAATATGCGCTGGGGCGGGGGTCGTGTGCACTAGGATTGCCATCCAAAAGGAAAGGGAGCAGGAGCCTGAAAAAGTTCAGGGACCACTGCACTACACCATACAGTCTCCTTCATCATGTGTATAATCCCATTTTCAACATATGTTTAATGCAACATATGTTTAATGCAACATATGTTTAAAGCTGGCTTCTGGGTGCAGTGACTTACCTTTGTTCAATGTTTTCAAAAGAGAGTGGGAACACTGAAAGAGCCACCTGGACCACTCGCCAACCATGCCTACAATTTCCTCATCTTTACGAGAAAGAATGCATCCCAGATATCATATCACTGACATCTGCCCTCTGGTATCCCTCTAGGCTGCTGCCACATGCAGAAACAAAGCAGTTTGGCATCACTTTAACTTCCAAGGCTCAGTGCTATGAATCCTGGGATCTGCAGTTTGGTGGGGCACCAGAGCGCACTAAATATCGGAAGGCTAAATGTCTCACAAATCTACAAATCCCACAATTCCATAACATTGAGTCATGGCAGTTAAAGTGGTGCCAAACTCTTTTACAATGGGTCCTCCACATTTGCTGGGGTTGGGGTGAAGGACCCCCATGAATGTGGAAAAACTACAAATTTAAAAACACTATTCTTTTTACCTGAGAGAATGCCTCTCTAGGAATCTCCAGATCCTCCAGAGCAGCTCTATGGTCAACATCTGCCAGAAGTTGATTATAGAATCATGTTGGGAGGACCTAGAAATGCCTAGAAAAATGTTTTCTCTAGGAACTTCCAGATCAGTGATTCCCAAACTTTGGACCTCCAGGTATTGTAGACCTCAACTCCCAGAAACCCTAACCAGCTTGGCCAGCAGCCAGGAATTTTGGGAGATGAAGTCCAAAACATCTGGAGGACCAAAGTTTAGGAATCTCTCCAGCATAACTCTATGGTCAACTTCCAGCAGAATTGCACCGGAGGACTTAGAGATTCCCAGAGAGATCATATTCATCAAAACTGCAAATAATCAAATCTGCAAAAGTCAAAACTGCAAATGTGGAGGGCCAACTGTATTTTTGCTGTATGGCAACAGCCCTACTTTCCTTCGCTTCTCTTTGTACTGTATACTTTGTACTGTGAATCACCCAGAAAACGACACCAGACTGTCTCCCTTCTAACACCAGACTGTCTCCCACCGTTTTAGCAGCAACCATGTAGGTGGCTGAGCAGTGACAGAGAAGCCTCTCACTCATTCTGGCTTTGTTGCAAAGGCCAGTGCAAGCAAGAAGCTTCTTG